GTAGAGAGAGCATAGCAGATCAACATTGCGACGCAGACAAGATATCGAGCGGTGGGCGGAGCGTGTCGCAACAGGTGGAGCGTGTCAAAGTTCTTAGCGCCTAGCGTCTAAATAACGCTTTTCGAAGTAGGGAAGTGACGCGACCTCTACACTTGCGTACCTAGCGCTTCTAGCCACCGTAAAGGCTCATTAAGTGGGTCTGAGCCCGAACTTTGCCTTTAAAGATGCCAGAATATCCCAAAACCTTAACACATGCTCCTAGTAAGTAATACCAGAGTTGGGCTGACTCTTCTCCGTGATGTGCATCTTCTGCCGATTGAAGAATCAACTGTGCAACGAATTAACCAGGTGGGATACTAAACTGTGGCACGAAGGTCTTACTGGATCTCTTGCCTACTTAGCAGCAGAAATACGCACATTTGAATTTTAGGGTAAGGCAAGAAGTTCCCTTACAAAATAGTTTTCTATTTGTATTTGTGAGTGAGAAAGCGAAAAGGGTGGGACTTTCTGATTGATCCACCTTCTTTGAATGCGCCACGCATTGTACTTTAATTCGTTACGGCAGCGGCATTTTGAAGACTGGTTGGCCTTTGCAAAAGCTTCGTTGGCAATGGCAATAACCGTTGTAGGCATCACTGCTTATTCAGTGTAGTTGTCAATTCAAGCAGTTCTGATGTCAATTAGGGCGCTTACGTCTTTGGAGGGGCGAACATCCCAAATAGGACCGATGGTAAGTGGCACCAAGACAAAGGGGGAAGGGGAGAAACGCCAGGGAGTACATTAATGGCTGACTTCCTCCTCAGAGTCTCTTCTCCTCTCTGAGGTTTAGAAGGCTGTAAGTGGCTCACCCAATCGAATGTTCCCCCTCCCTCCACAAACGACATGAGCGCCCCGAATAGCAGACCGCACAGAGATAGAAAACCTGGTTCATTTGAGCGGGATATGATCAAGGATTCGACTTTGGCAACATATTTGTAGACGGTGCCGCCTTCCATTATATTACTCCCAAGGCGGAAGAAAGTTTTGATAATGTAATTCTCTACATTGCAGGCTTTGTGGATAATCTTTTTTCGACAGGCGAATACGGTATCGAATGAGAGTGCTATGCAATGCCTATCGATCGAGGTGGTGGAGTAAACGCTTTCAGAGGTCTTCTGTGGAATCGTAAGGGATTACAACCGTAGTACTGCTGCAGTGAAAACTGATGGAATTGTTTTTCAATAGCTCTTTATATTCGATCTGCAACCATTACAATAAAAAATCTTATTTTCGAGATGATCGATCGTTTCAAGGTTTTAATGGCGCCACCTCTTACTAGTGTGCATTGAGAGTCTTCAGCTGAGGCCACACAGATCTTGATTCTATGGAGGTGTGCTGGTCCCTGCACTACAGACCCTGCTCGGCTCCAGATCTGCTGGTCATTGCGTTGCATTGACCCTGCTTGACATTTCCCCGGCTTTTCAGTAGCATACCACGAGCCGGGCGGAAGTGGTGTAGTGGCAAGTGGCACGCTTACCACGCGAGCGGTCCGGGGATCAAATCCTGGGTCGTGAGTCGCCCGGGCCAACCAAGCCTTCCATCCCTCCGGGGTCGGTTAATTGGTACCAGACTTGTCTGGGAGGATAAAAACACTGACTTGTACATCGGCTGGCCCCCGCAAGTCATTGTATAGGCCACATCGCATTCAAACGCCACTACGAATGTACAAATGGAAGTAGAATGCGTGCCGCATCCCAAAAAGGGATTGATCAACGGCAAATGCTTTATCCTTTATTTTATCCTACGAGCCACCAATAATACCTGCTTTCGGCTCGATCCTCGAGTGTAGTTAAAGTCAAGCTGAACATCGATGCTGTGGGGGCAGGCGGTCATTGAGCAGCGTCGAGATCTCATAATTACGTGGCATTACGCCATAGTGGACCACAGACCAGGTTCTAGTAAAAATAACAATCGAATCAACAGAGCGCATATGGAATATTTACGCACTCCGCAAGTTTTGAATCCCTTCTGAAATTTTGAGCGAGCTATTCTATAGTTTCCCTGCAAACAAGAGAGCCGGTACTGGTAGAAATTCTCACAAAGCCAAATTTCAAGCTGCCTCAGTCATCAAATTCCTTTTTCAAATCAATTCA